CAGAACTGTCAGAAATAGACTATTTCTGACAGTTCTGGGACATTCCCTCCATACAGCGGTTTCCGGCAAAAAGTGTATGTGCAGAGTTCCTCTATTCTGCAGATACATTTAGAGGAGCTCTGCAGATACACTTAGAGGAGCTCTGCACATACACTTTTTGCCGGCTTAAAGTAGGATGAAAATAAGATTAATTCCAAGCCGGCAAAAAGTGTATGTGCAGAGCTCCTCTAAGTGTATCTGCAGAGCTCCTCTAAGTGTATCTGCAGAATAGAGGAACTCTGCACATACACTTTTTGCCGGCTTGCAATTATTCTTATTTTCATCCTACTTATTCTTCTTCTTCTTCTTCTTCTTCTTCTTCTTCTTCTTCTTCATCCTCTTCTTCTTCTGAGGATGAGGATGAGGATGATGAAGAAGAAGAAGAAGTAGGTATTGTATCTATTAGTTTCCATTTAGGATACAGATGTTTCAACCGCTGTACATGTGAAGAAGCTGTCAGAGAACTGTCAGAAATAGAGGAACTCTGCACATACACTTTTTGCCGGCTTGGAATTATTCTTCTTTTCATCTACTACTTCTTCTTCTTCATCCTCATCCTCATCCTCTTCTTCTGAGGATGAGGATGAAGAAGAAGAAGAAGTAGGATGAAAAGAAGAATAATTCCAAGCCGGAAAAGTGTATGTGCAGAGTTCCTCTATTTCTGACAGTTCTCTCACAGCTTCTTCACATGTACAGCGGTTGAAACATCTGTATCCTAAATGTAAACTAATAGATACAATGTTTCAACCGCTAAACATGTGTTCCTTCTGTCAGAGAACTGTCAGAAATAGCGGAGCTCACTGCAGGGACACTTTTACCGGCTGATCGGGAAATGTTCGATTCGCGCACCCGAAGTAGGCAAAATTTCGGATTCGACGCGAATCGAATATTTCCTGAAATTCGACTCGAATTCCGGTTCGCCTGGTTCGATTCGCTCATCTCTAGTAATAAACTTTGTGCCTTTAGAACCACTTTAGGGTTTCCAGAGGCATTAAAAGATTAGAAAACCAGCTTTTGCTGCTATATTCACCTCCATCCAGAGCACTTCTCTACTGATCAACATCCTTAGTCTCATGGGCAGCATCATTCAACCCCATTTCTCTGAGCCCTGTTTATCCTTGACCAAGGGCGGACTGACAACTCATGGGGCCCCCGGGCAATAGGGGATCACGGGGCCCCTGTGTCCTTGCCCAAACTCAAAAAAGCCTATGAAAAAGATACCAGGGGCATCTCATGGGGCCCCCTACTGACCCCGGGCCCTCGGGCAGTGCCCGAGTTTCCAAATGGTCAGTCTGCCCCTGTCCTTGACCCACCCTAGCCTGTTGCAGTGAGCTCATCTCTCTGTCACTCTGCTCTCTCCTCCTATGAGCATGCTTCTTGTCAGTGCATGAGCGGATTGGCTCCTTGTGCTGCTATTTCTTCCCCACACACCAGCCCTGCTGTACAAAGACAGCAGGAGGATGATATCAGGTCAAATTCAGGTACTTATACTGCTTGTATTTAAAAAAAAAAAAAAACAATTCTTGATGTTCAATGATTACAGAGCTGCATTACATTGTGTCATTCATATCTGCACAGAGTTGATAAAGATTCTATCAGTTGGATCCAACAGTCATATCTTATGGTGTATGGGCACTCTAACTGCACGGTGTGTACTTCATTCGGAGTAGTCAACCCATAGACATACAATGTGATTGGAGTTCCTTTGTCTGGTAGTTATCAGTGTGTTTCTGCTGATCTAACAGCTGTCTATTGACTTCGATTAGTCTATTAGCCTGCGTTTCATGCCTAGGCTGATTTATGATCACTTCTGGTGAATAACTCCCACTAGAATAATGACCTGGTTTATGACATATAGATTGGTATTCAGGTGATAGAAAGCCTTGTCAATACATGTAGATGAAGTTATATTGCATGTACAGAAGCGCCATAACTCTGTATGGAGATTTTATGTACATTGCTTTATAAAATATTGTAACAAAGGAAAATTTATGTGAAAATGAATAGAAAATGACAACACAAGAATCATTTAAAAAGGTTTGAAAAAGAGAACATTCAGTACTGAGTAAATAGCTAGTTTAAAGTTTTACTAAACTCACATCAGTAAAATCAGTCTGTATATGCCGTAAAGCATGCTTGTTATACTCACTGTGCCTGAGCCTAAAGGGTTAATCCTCTGCATTGTGTAAAAAGGCTGTTTGATCCTGTCTTCTCTGATCCTCCCCTGCTTTTACTATCCCCAATCCATCTGTCATAGTACTGAACAGTAGTGGCAAGTCTGCACATGCTCTGTTTAGTGCAAGAGAGCTATTTTGGGGGGAGGGTGCATGTGATCAGCAAAGAACCAATCAGCGCTGTCCAGACAGAGGGTTAGGGTCATGCAGCCTCATAGGACAGCCTCATAGGAGAATGAAATACAAAATTAATCAGTGCTTGGCTGGACACTGATAGAAGTCACAAGACTGCTCTAACTGCTGATGAGAAAAGGTATTTAGCGGTTTATATTTACTAAAATAATTGCATTTCCATGTTGTGTGTACTGTGGGAGACCAGATATAGTGAATGCAGAGTCCAGGTTTAGTAACACTTCAGGGAGCAGTCCACACAAAGCCAATACTTCAGTTTCTGCTGAAAATGTAAGACTGAGCTCCAGGCAAACTAGTAAATACACAGATAAAAGGCATATATGAAAGGTGCTTGACCAGCCATGGATTTGTATATCTGTCTATCCAGCCTCAAGATTTAAAAAGCTCTGCCCCAGAGTACAGTCCAGGTTTTAGCAGGGGAGGGGACCTGATCTTTCAGTTACACTTTCATTTAAAGGTCCTATTCCCAACATGTGATTGGATAGTGAAAGCAGAAGCAGCACAGTGATGCACCATAGCAAACCTGATCATCTCCTTGTACGGCTTCCTCTCCCCCTTTCCAGGCTCTGCTGCACAAGGATTACAAGACACTGATTGCAAGTCAAATTCAGGTACTTACAGTGCTTGCATAAAAAAAAAGAATTTAATAATGTTTATAGATGAATATAGAGCTGCAGTTATTTGTGCCTGTAAACCTCAAACATGGAATATGAATAAAGCATATCCCTCTATAGTGTGTACTTGTCTCAGTCCAGAACACCAAGTGTCTTAATTCCTCTGATATCAGCATGAATCCCTTATGACAAGTTTTCCTGACACCAACAGAAAAATGGTGACAGAGGAGGGACCTCCAGCAGGTTTACAGCCTCAGCTTTGTTTCTGTGAGCTTTGTTAAGGGGGGTCCCTTTCCTCCAATCAGCTCTCATATATCTTGTACAGGGTGTAACTGCAGCTCCCCGCTCCCTGATTTTTGGAGCTGTGAGATGCTGTGTAAATTCTGCACTTTGAATGGATCTGGGGAAAGAGCTATAGATAAACAGGTACAACTTATGTAGGAGGATTTGTGTCATTTCTGTATATCACCTGAGGTCAGTAACTTCACTGAGAATAAGTCCCTGTAATTAGAGATTTCAACTCGAGTCCTTTGATGTTTAAAGTTCCTGATATGGTGGTATCCTCTGTCTTCTGCTAGCAATGGTGGGGCCCATAAGCATTAGTGAATACTGGTAATTCAATGAAGTTAAAAGATAAGCCGTGATACTGCTCAAGGCTAAGGTCTCCTGGTGACTGATGTGTAAAGGTATTTGCGTACAGTGTCTCTAGAGTGATGACAGATAGAGTTTGGGCATCCGCCCACTCACCAATTTTATGGATAGCACAAACTCCTTGGAACAAGAGTTCTTGTCTAGCTTCTTGGCTGTTTGCAGAGATATGCAGAGTTACCACCTGATGGCTTGTCAGCGCAGCGTGCAGAGATGTTAGTGTGAAGTCCGGACAGTGAAAGTTCTGATTCCGGTGTGACGATCGGTGTCACTTCTGTGCTGAACTGATGTCCCACAGCAGTAGGCCTGCAGTCTGTCTCTGGAGAAAAAGGGCAGTCCCCCTGTGTTCAGAGAGAGACAGTTCCTTGCTATAGAATATGTATTTAATCTCCCAGCATTCTTCTGGTTTGCCAGCTCTCTGGTGGTTATAGTTCAATCAGCACACAGAAATACAATATGTATTGGCTATAGGACTACAAGTCCCAAGATCCACTGCTGTCAAAAGAACTGGATCCATTCTATTAACAGGAGGCAGTGTAGCAGTCCCAGTACTGGGCACTTGGGGGAAAAGGATTGATCATAGTTTCATCTGTAAATGTACCTGAAAGGCATAATGACAGAGCCGTCACCTGGCTACACCTTTCTAGCTCTTGGTGTGACAAGTGACTCATACAGATAGCAGAGGACCAAGGCAGCAGTAACAAATGACACTTGGTGCTCTGGATTGAGACAAGTACACACTATAGAGGGATATGCTTTGTTCATATTTCATGTCTGAGGTTTACAACCAGTTTAAATTTGATGTTGAATAAATTTACTCCTGTTAAGGATATTGGGATTGATCAGGATAGTCTGTGACCATGTACGTGCACTCCATGCTGTGGAGCACAATGGCCCTAGCTAGGCTGCTCTTTTAAGGTGGCCATAGATGACTAGTTCAACAGGCTGCTAAAAAAAAAACAGATTCCTCCATCAATGTAGGCGAGGTGGGTAGAGGAATCCTTCCCTGAGATATTGTATTCTCACAGCAGTACTCCTCCAATGTCACAATACACTAATCTGCAGGTGCTAATTGAGAAAAGTTGTTCAACATGTCAGTCAGAGACTTAAAGAGAACTTCAATAAGGGAGTATGTAGACTCCAATGTCATTTGGAGAAGAAAATGCTATTTTATATGGACAAAAAAATAAGCAGTGACCAGATTAACATTTTGAAGTATTAATCCATTATTGTTTAAAACCAGTGTAACGTTCGGGAGAGGAGAATTTGTTTGGTCGACAGCCAATTGGACTGGGAGCTGTGAGATATGGGAAAGGAACCTTGGAAGAGGGGTAAACAGCCTGGAGGGGCATGGGCTAGAGCAGTGTTTCTCAACTCCAGTCCTCATGGACCCCCAACAGGTCATGTTTTCAGGATTTCCCTCAGATGAAACAGCTGTGGTAATTACTAAGGCAGTGAAACTGATCAAATCACCTGTGCAAAATAATGGAAATCCTGAAAACATGACCTGTTGGGGGTCCATGAGGACTGGAGTTGAGAAACACTGGGCTAGAGACAAGCAGGCTGAGCTGTGGGTGTGTACAGCAGAGTGATGGATCAGAGAGTGGGACCTGCGAGAAGTATGACAGAAATCATCATCACCATGCATCTGCTGGCCTAGAATCCAGAAGCCCTTCCCTTCCCTTTTCTACCATACAAGCCAAAATAAAGTACAGACTGGAGAGGGTGGACCAGTATATTACGAGCTACCTTTTGCCTGACCTTGCCCCAGAGACCATCGGTAGTACATAGGCCTTCAGGAATCTTGTGGTCCACACTTAATCCACCTCCATTCAGCCTACAGAACTACTAGAGTGACTACGGATCAGAAGACATCTGCATTTGGGGTGGTGAGAAGCCTTTGGCCACTTTCATATGCATGTTTTTTACTCCTTTGGAATTGCGGCCACCAACCGAGTTCTGTTTAAGGGGATCATCCTGTTTCTATCTGTGGATTACAAATACTTTCATTTCAAGTACTTCATCAAGTTAAAGGGCCCCAATGCTAGAGTTGTTATTCCACTGGCCAGAGGTATAGACAGGGACTGAAATTAGAAGATGGGCTATGTTGTTTACTATATCTACTGTCATCCTCTCTCTGGAGGTTTCTCATGGTGCGTCTTATTGTTGTATCATTCAGCTCTTATTCACCCAGTGCATTTGGTGAGGCCCATCACAGTCAATTAGGGGGAAACCGAATGGCATTTACTGTCCTATATCTGCTACTAAACAATATTTGATGATCAGTTAATATCGTCTTTGTTCAGGCAGTTCTTCCTCACATAGATTGTCCTGGCCCTAATAAATCCATTTGCATTATTACTGGTGTGTTGGGTTCAGTTGAGTCATTACTGTGAGCAGCAGAGGGATCCATCTATCCAGCAGCTCCCAAAGGAGTCAGTTCTACACTGTTATAATTAATATTATTGTTTTATACCATGAAGCTCATGTTCTCCAGGGGTGAGCAGGTTGCCTACCTCAGAGTTTTTATGATGGCTGTTCTGTTTCCAGTGTACATGCCTCTTTGGTTGGACCTATACCGCTACAGCACTGTTGTGCCTTCCTTTGGACTTTTTGTATAATCTGCTTTCCCAGAATGACCCAGATTATGCAGACTTTCTGATGAATTAGCTTGCCTTGCTTTTGTATCCACAGTGTAAAAAGTGGTTTCACTTCATAAATCATGCCTATGGTTGTTTACCAGGATAGACGGTAGCCATTTTTCATAATTGGGTGACTGCTGTTGTTATTTCACCATCATCCAAAAATTGACTTTTAAGGCTTTGTACTGAGGCAATGATAGCACAATTAAGTTCCATAAAATACATACATTTTCTTTTTTTTTACACTATTAAATTTAAAAAACCTATCACTTGTGTAACCCTGCAATATGTGCATGCTATTTGGACCCTGATATCCTTGTGGTTATGTATTGTTGGCTTGTTGTGGCCTCCATCTCCTCCCTATGTGGTCCAATGCCTCTGACGCCATCCTCCACCCTTTGTGGTAGAGGTCTGGCAGAAATATTGTTACTGGCCGCAACCTGATGGTGCTTAGGAGTGTTTTCATACTTAATATATAATAACAATTGTGATGCCTCTGCGGTGTCCCCGAAGAAGTAGCGGCTCGGGCTGTGAAACACATTGGACCAAAAAACGGTGGGAATGCATAAGCATCAGTTGTAGACTTAACGTAGATTTTTTTAGCACCATACAGTGCAATTCTTTTTATACTTGAGAAAGTACCTATGCTTTAGCAGGTGATATGCTTTAAACTTTAACACTGTGATAAATAAAATATATATTTATTTTATGGAACTAATTTCTTAATAATCTTGAAGGCTTAAAAGACCCTTTTTTGATGATGGTGTTGTGTATGTTGAATTTGGGATGTGGCAACATATACTTTCCAAGATATTGCAAAATAATCCTGCTTTCATGTCCTATTGTATATCCTCATGGTGGATGTTCCTTTGATTTCTTGGAACACTGGCGGATTACATAGTCCCCTTAAGAGAACTATGGTCAACACTGATCTCCATAAATTCCACTCTGCAATCTACGGTCTCTAAGAGACTCACCTTACAAAAGATACCTTAAGTTTTCTCCGGTACTCTTGGATAGGTCATGCATTCATCCTATCCCAGAGGTGTCAGAGTTCTGATTTTCAAGAGTTTGCCTCTACTGTTGAAGTTGAGGGTAGATATATTTGTATAAACTGCTAAATGTATTTAGTCACGTGCATATTAGTTATGGTGTATATATTTCTCATCCCTTTTCCACTATGGTATTAAGACGATTATCGTCCTTTCTATTAGGAAAAAAACCAATGTACCACTTTTTCTTTTGGGTGCCTTTAATGGGTGTATAGACCCACTTTTGGACAAGCATCCCTCTGGTCACAATAGGCCTTAACTACAGAGATTTCACACTATATGGTTTTCTTTTGGAGGTGGGGTGGACAGATTTCTGTAGAGACAGACACCCTCATGAATGCCAATTTTCATGTTTCTGTGAAACCCATTCCTTCCAGGATAAACCTCTGTATAGGGATTCTGCCCCACTGCTAACTAATCTACAATTTGTCCAAGAGGCTTTTCCTACCATTATCCACTGATAGCATGGATTTCTGTCAAACTATTTATTCATTTGCCTAGAGCTCCCTGGAAATTAAGTACCTTTTGGATAAATCTCTTTCCCTCACACGTAGCGATTGACAAATGGATTGATGATTTCTTTGCTGATCATGCACAGTTTCCTGATTCTTTATTCTTGTGGAACACTTTTAAAACCGTTTATCTCTAAAATCAGGGCTGTTCAGAACGCCTCTAGGGAACATGATTCCAAAATAATTCAGCTAGTGCAAAGACAAATGTACACTGTATTGCCAAAAGTATTGGGACACCTCCCTTTACACGCACATGAATTTTAATAGCATCTCAGTTATAGTCCGTAGGGTTCAATATTGAGTTGGCCCACCCTTTGCAGATATAACAGCTTCAACTCTTCTGGGAAGGCTGTCCACAAGGTTTAGGAGGGTGTCTATGGGAATATCTGACCATTCTCACAGAAGCATATTTCTGAGGCCAGGATGAGAAGGCCTGGCTCACAGTCTCCGCTCTAATTCATCCCCAAGGTGTTCTATCAGGTTGAGGTCAGGACTCTATGCAGGCCAGTCAAGTTCCTCCACCCCAAATTCACTCATCCATGTCTTTATGGACCTTGCTTTGTGCACTGGTGTGCAGTCATGTTGGAACAGGAAGGGGCAATCCCCAAAATTGTTACCATAAAGCTGAGAGCATGAAATTGTCTAAAATGTCTTGGTATACTGACACCTTAAGATTTCCCTTCACTGGAACTAAGGGGCCAAGCCCAACCCCTGAAAAACAACCCCACACCATAATCCCCCTTCCAACAAGCTTTACACTTAGCACAATGCAGTCAGGCAAGTACTGCTCTCCTTACAACCGCCAAACCCAGACATGTCCATCAGATTGCCAGACAGAGAAGCATGATTTGGCACTCCAAGGAACACTTCTCCACTGCTCTAGAGACCAGTGGCAGTGTGCTTTACATCTCTGCATCTGATGCTTTTTATTGCACTTGATGATGTAAGGCTTGCATGCAGCTGCTCGGCCATGGAAACCCATTCCATGAAGCTCTCTACGCTCTGTTGTTGTTGCTAATCTGAAGGCCACACAAAGTTTGAAGGTCTTTAGCTATTGACTCTGCAGACAGTTGGTGACTTCTGCGCACTTTGCTTTTCAGCATGTGCTGACCCTACTCTGTCATTTTACGTGGCCTACCACTTGGTGGCTGAGTTGCTGTAGTTCCCAGTTGCTTCCACTTTGTTATAAAACCACTAACAGTTGACCATGAAATATTTAGTAGCAAGGAAATTTCACAGATGAACGTATTGCACAGGAGAGAACCTATCTTGCTACCACACTTGGAGTCACTGAGCTACTGAGAGCGATCCATTCCTTCGCAAATGTTTGTAGAAGCAGTCTGTGGGCCTAGGTGCTTGATTTTTTACACCTGTGGCCATGGAGGTGATTTGAACACCTGAATCCAATGATTTGGAGGGGTGTCCCAATACTTTTGGCAATAAAGTGTATTTCTAATTCCATTGTCTCTGCAAAAGCTTTCTGCACAAGACATTCTGATCTGGTTGGCCAATTCTTTAGCAGAAAAAAAAAACATGTTTTTTCAACAAATAGGCCTTCTATGAAGAAGTGGATCAAACTGGATGCCTCTTAGCAAAAATTGTTAACACCCAACAAACCTCTAGGGAAATCTAGGTAACTCACCAGCTCCGGTAATGGCCAAATTGGTAAGATCCTACTCCAAGATACAGTACTGTGCAAAATTCTTAGGCAAGTTTGAAAAAATGGTGTAAATTAGAATGTTTTTAGAAATAGAAGTGTTAATAGTTTTTTTTTTCAATGAACACAATTGAAAGTAAATGAATAGAAGATGAATCCAAATCAAATCAATATTTGGTTTAACCACCCTTTGCCTTCAAAACAGCATCAGTTCTTCTAGGTACACTTGCACATGGTTTTTGAAGGAACTCGGCAGGTAGATTGTTCCAAACATCTTGGAGAACTAAGGAACTAACAGATCTTCTGTGGTTGTAGGCTGCTTCAAATCATTCTGTCTCTTCATGTAATTCCAGACAGACTTAATGTTAAGATCAGGGCTCTGTGGGAGTCAAACCAACACTTTCAGGATTCCCTGTTCTGCTTTACACTGAAGATAGTTCTTAATGACATTGGCTGCATATTTGGGGTCGTTGTCCTGCTGCAGAATAAATTTGGGGCCAATCACACACCTCCCTGATGGTATAACATGATGGATAAGTATTTTCATGTATCTCTCAGCAATGAGGACATCATTGCTCCTGACAAAATCTCCAACTCCGTTTGTAGAAATGCAGACCCAAACTTACAAGGAACTTCCACCATGCTTCACTGCTGCCTCCAGACACTTATTTTTGTACAGCTCTCCAGCCTTTCACGAACAAACCGCCTTTTCCTACAGTCAAATATTTCAAATTTTGACTCATCAGTCCAGAGCACCTGCTATCATTTTTCTGCACCTCAGTTCAATGCAATGGACATGGAAACAAGGCTAAGTGACTCAACTATGCATGGTTTGGCTCCCACAGAGTCTGTCTGGAATTACATAAAGAGACAGAAGGATTTGAGGCATCTTACCTCCACAGAAGATTTGTGGTTAGTTCTTCAAGATGTCTGGAACAACCTACCTGCTGAGTATCTTCAAAAACTGTGCGCAAGTGTACCTAAAAGAAATTATGCTGTTTTGAAGGCAAAGGGTGGTCATGCAAAATGTTGATTTGATTTGATTTGGATTTCTCTACTGCTGTTTTACTTTTCATAACATTTCTATTTCTGAAAGCATTCCTAATTTACAGCATTTTTGAACTCCTTCCTAGGACATTTGCACATTACTGTATATGCCTCTAAAACATATTTTTCATTGACTTCCTTAACCCAATATCTGCACTCCATAGCCCTGTCCTAGCTATCCTTTTATCATCAAGCCTTTTTGGGCTCATGGAAAACATTAGAAGAGGTTCAGGAGGTGACCAGATAGTTCCCTAATTGCAAGGCATCAGGAGATAAAGGTCCCCCAATTGATTTTAAGCAACTTTGTAGCAGATTCCTACCTTTTGATGGCATAAATAGCTTTTTGTTTCACCACACCAATAGCATACTCATTCTGAATAGGAGGGTCTAGTTCATTACTAATAAACTGATGCACTTTCTGTGTTTTAATGAGAAAAGCTGCAGTGTCTGCATCCCATTAAAATCAACTAACCCTTGGGATGCATCTCCCCAAACCTTACATGGAATGTGCATGCTGGAAACACCTAGGCAGTTTCATACAACAAATATAGCATTTGTTTTTGGATTCCAAAAGAAACCATATTTAATATGTGACTCTTTATATCTTTTGATAGATTGGCAAAAGTAGGCCTCACACGATCTTTTCATTCCAGCATGTAACATGGGGCTAAATCTTGGTTCATATTTGTGTGCTCCACAACTGCAAGCCAAAAGTGACCCTTCTTGACCCACAGCACCACTGACAAGTTGAAGGGCATCATAGCATGAAGGTCTTCATTACATCTAATGCCTAATTTGCTCATGAGCAACCATATAAATGTACAGGAAAGGCCAGAAGTGTGAACTAGCCTTGAAGCTTCTGTAAACAAGCCTTTATGAATGCACTTGAGAGAAGTTGTCTATTCACTTATGCATTGAATATATAATATCCACGCACTCTCAACCAGGGGCGGACTGACCATATGGAAACTCGGGCATTGCCCGAGGGCTCAGGGTCAGTAGGGGGCCCCATGAGATGCCCCTGGTACCTTTTTCATAGGATTTTTTGAGTTTGGGCAAGGACACAGGGGCCCCATGATCCCCTATTGCCCGGGGGCCCCATGAGTTGTCAGTCCGCCCCTGCTCTCAACTTTGTCTTCCTGTAAGCTATAACTTACTTGCCTTTTTTGATAACATGAAGTGATAGGGTCTACAACACATTAATGTAAATGAAGCCCATCCAATCATACAAGGTGGGGGCTGATTGCGCTCAAACAGTAATTTGAAAAGACATCACGGCAAAGTGATATAGGGAAGTTAGATACCTAATGGTTCCTGTTCCAAAAAACCGCACCAATAGCAGGTATGATTTACAACTTTCAGCTGTTTTTCTTCTGCACATCTTCCAGCTGCATTACAGCTGATGCGGCTGAATATCCACTCATGCATTTGAAATAGAGTTGATAATTTTTTTTACGATTCAGAATCCATGCAGAAAAAAATGAAATCCAGCCAATAAATAAGATAATGTTATGCTGTATTTACCAACACTGGCTTAACATGCCCTTCTGAAACTTTTCCAAGTAGTAAATCACATTGCAGATCTATAGTGTTTGGCCCCGAAATACAGGGAATGTTTCTGCAATGAATCAATTTTATCATTATAAACCTCAGACTCTTGGACGTTTGTTTGGCATTCACATTGATTTATATGTACAGTTGTGCTCAAAAGTTTGCATACCCTGGCAGAAATTGTGAAATTTTTGCATTGATATTGAAAATATGACTGGTCATGCCAAGAAATGCTCTTTTATTGAAGGCTGATGATCATATGAAGCCATTTATTATAAAATAGTTGTTTGGCTCCCTTTTTGTGGCTAAATAGTTAGCACTTCCTCCTGACAGTATTAGGGTCGCTGGTTCAAATCCCAGCCACGGCACCTCCTGCCTGGAGTTTGCATGTTCTCCCTGTGCCTGCGTGGGTTTCCTTCGGGTGCTCCGGTTTCCTCCCACACTCCAAAGACATGCTGGTAGGTTAATTGGATCCTGTCTAAATTGGCCCTTGTATATGGATGTGAGTTAGGGACCTTAGATTGTATGCCCCTTGAGGGTTAGGGACTGATGTGAATGTACAATATATATGTAAAGCGCTGCGTAAATTGACGGCACTATATAAGTACCTGAAATAAATAATAATGATAACAGAAATCCCCCAATGGCCATGATCAAAGTTTACATACCCTGGAATGTTTGGCCTTGGTACAGACACACAAGGTGACACACACACGGGTTAAAATGCCAATTAGAGGTTAATGTCCCACGTCTGTGGCTTTTTAAATTGCAATTAGTGTCAGTGTATAAATAGTCAATGAGTTTGTTAGCTCTTGCGTGGCAGCACTGACTAGGCTAGATACTGCGCCATGGGGTTCAGAAAAGAACTGTCAAAAGTCTTGCGTAACAAGGTAATAGAACTTTATAAAGATGGAAAAGAACATAAAAAGATGTTCAAAGTCTTCAATATGCCAGACATTACTTCCACTAAGAAGTAAAAAAAGCCCTGGGAAATGCCAAGCAGCCATTGCTGACATTCATGTATGTAGACACAAAGTTGCTGTTAAGAGTAAGTGCAGGGGATCAGCAATTCTGAGATGCAATAACGAATGAAAATACTGTAGATGGACAGAAATATACTGTATATATTCAAAAAATTTCAATTGTTTATTTTAGTGTTTTAGCAAATTAAATGCCATTTAGTTAGGATTTACATTTACTTTGTCTCATCCACCGTTAGTCCACATTGAATTGTTGATGTCACTAGGTAAACTCCCACTGGACACTTGTACCTACAGGTAAGTTTTATTATATGCTTACCTCTAGGTACAAGGAATATCTCCTAAACGTTCACCATGTTGGAGATATTCAGTGTCCTTGGA